CTTTCAATATTCTGTTTGTAAACTGATCAACTGAATTGCTAATATATTCACATCACCGTAATCAAAACAAAACAGTGTTGCATGTGTGTTCACACGATTGGTAATACCTCTCAAGTTCAAAACTGAGGCAGTTAAACATTCAGCCATAATCATATATCTATATATTGTAGCATTGATGTAAACACATTGTGATACAAAACCACATTACAATAAACACATTATGATACTCATATAGATATGTGTTTATTGTATCATAATGTGATGTAACTCTCGGCAAATAGCCACAAGACACCAATTAAAGCACTCAAGCACTCATTCCATCTTTGGCTCTGATTTGACCAGAAAATTCCTAGCTTCATCATCCCTAACTTCACTGCATTGGGAACATATAGGAACAAAAATTCAAATAAATGACTGCTGAAAGAAATGAGAAAGATACAAAAACTGTAATTGACTTGAAAACAAGCACTTCAATAACCGGAAAGAGCATAAGAGCACGAAACCTGTCTATAGCTTCTGTCTTTGAAATCAAGGTGAGCTCTTTGGATGCAAGAAATTCACAGAAACTGCTGAGGGCTTTCTCCTGGCAGAATATACATAGAGTGCGCAGAAAATCATTGAACTTTTTCGATTCCTGCAGAGGACAAATTTTCTGAGGTTAACATGCAATTGTCAGCGCGTCAAAAGAAGTCATTCTCCTTCTAAGTAGATATGCGTCAAATTGTGATTTATCCACCTCATTATGTAAGATTAATTTACTCATTACTCACAAGGAGCCAAGCAAATTTTCTTTTATGGGGAGAGGAAAGGTTCTTTTTTCACAAAATTTAAGAAGCAGAAACACATTTCAATAAACATATATACTCATATCTATACTACTCACATTACAATAAATACACAAAAAGGATACCTAAATCCATACGAATGACATATAATCAACACATTTAGATACAGACTCTGATACCAGTATCCATACACTATAATGAACACATTAAGATACTCATATGATACTGATATCCAAATTACTCACAATATTATCGTGTTGGTTCACATACACATCGACACTATTATCGGTGATAAAGGAAGACTGGATTGTTTATGTGGCCAGTTCAGACTTAAGAGTATTCTTTCCATAAAACATAAATGACATTATCCTAGCCATTGTAAAAGTTTCCTACTGCATCTTTCTAAAAAAGATACTCATATGATACCCAAATCCATACTATTCACAATGTTATCAAGACATTCAGATACATAATCGGATACTTCTTTCTTAAAAAAAAGATACATAATAAGATACCCAAATCCATATTACCCACTTATTTGCAAGATACAGAATAGAAATTCAATATGTCTTGTCAGATCACCCATATTCAAGACTAAAAGATAATCACTTAGCATTGACCCCTCTGAAATAATCACCTAAATCATTCAAAATCAAATTTTTCGTCTTTGTTTTCTATACAACCAAAAACAATTAAATACTAAAGATATCATCATCAGCAACATCAGAATCATCCATACTTTCGTCCTAATCAAATTGGGGCAGCAACGTGAATTGCTATCTTTCAAGTTTCTCGATACAAAGTATCTTCTACAGCAAAGAGTGAGGAAGAGAAAGAGGAAGAGAGAGAAACAGTACCTCTGGATCTTGCCTTTCACGTTGTCGATGGTCTCAACCTCAAGAGTGATGGACTTTCCAGTTAGGGTTTTCACCCAAATAAAAAAGTGTCTTTCTGGTTTCTATCTGAGAGAGAGAGAGAGAGAGAGAGAGAGAGAGAGAGAGAGAGAGAAACGCGTGATGTGGATGACCAACGTGCTGGTTTTGGTTTCTATTCTACTACCCCTGCCTCAAAATCCAGATGGAAAACGGAATGAGATTTTGGGTTGTAAGATTTTGCACAAATGAAAACAATTTTTTCTTTAATCTGGATTTTGGGTGGCGTTATGAGCTTCTGGGTATGGGTTTTCAGATTTTGGGGTTTGTAGTTATAATTCACAAAACAATTAAATGCCGAAATGAAGGAAGAAGAAAAGGCGCGAATGCCAAAGGAGGGAAATTGTAGCGTACCCACTTACATAGTAAGCTTGCTTTTTCTCTACAGCCGTTGAGATTAGATCGGATGGCTGAAATTGATCCTCACATAGTGTCCTCATTTAGGAGTCCTCGTTAGAGCCCAGCCATATGTCATAATAGACACCCATTGGAACAACCTTTATGAAGAATGTATTCCCATATGAGGAGTACAAGTGTACGTTTTGGGCCTTGCAAGTTGACTGCCGAAAATAGACTGGAATTGACTTCATTGCAGTTAGCTTGTGGGCTTGTTTTGGGCTTGATCTTCCCTCCAAAATCTGGAAAAATCTGGATCTTGAAGCTCTTTGAATTATATTTCCAAGCATATGCAGCCCAGCTCAAGGAAAAATCGGAAAGCCCTTC